CAAATTCAGGCTTTACAAATATGAAGGGGTCAAACAATAGGGAGGGCTTACAAGCTTCTTGCAAGCTTTAAAATTTTGGAACGCTTACGTTTCGCAAAACGCAGCCATATTAAAACCCTTAAGCAGACTACTCAGAAAGGGAGACGAGTGCGTTTGGAAGGAAGAATAGGAGGAGACGTGGAATAACATATTAAGTGTTATCAAGAAAAATATATGCGTTGAATTTATGAACCACAATTACCCATTGATCTTGAAAAGAGATGCAAGTAACCTTGGAGTGGGAAGTGTTCTTTTTCAACGTTACGATGGAAGAGTTCACTACATTGCATTTGTAACTACAAAGTTCAATGATACTTAAAAAAGATATAGCATTACTTATAGGGAGGTTTTAGCGGTGGCATGGTGCACAAATAAACTAGTAGATTTTATTAACTTAAATAGTAAACGGTCATAGTGGAGACAGACCGTTTTCTTGGTCTGTTTAGAAGTGAATGTTATTGCGAAACGGTGAGGAAGAAACGGGTACACCGAATTCAACAAATAATGAATAATTATAATTGGATTATACAATTATTCCAGGAGAGGGGAATATTATTGCGTATTTGGTACCTAGATTAACTAAGAGAGAGGAAGAAAAGGAAGCGAATAGCAAAGTCATGATAGCTTCCAACAAAACGACTAGGGACAAAATTGAACTTAAAGTCACTGGCAAAGAAGAAGCAGAGAATTACAAAGACAATTATCATATTTGGTGCAAATTTGATGTGGATTTTTGGGGACCTAAATAGGAGGGCTAGCGAAGCAGGTCGTTTGTGAATGTAACACTTGTATTCGATTTTGTATAGGTGTCATAAACCTAAAGAGAAGATGTTATCTAAGGGAATAGCTAGAGGCCATGGGGTATATATGACTGTGGAGGTTTTTAAATGCCTAAAAAGCGGGAGGTTACGAGAGCGTATTAATAATACTTGATAAGTATTCTAGATTTGTATGGGACCGGGCTTATAAAAAGTTAAATACGAGCTGGTAGTTAGAGAGTCGAGAGAAGTATTTAAATTAAGACGGCCTACTAATATTATATGGACAAGGAGACAATCTTTCATAGCGGAGAGGTGAAGCAGTTTTTGAAAAACTTTACATGGGCGTAGAGTACCTCACTGTCAACTACCATCAAGCTAATGGTATGGTTGAAAGAACCATACAAACGTTAAAAAGGGCTTAATGAAAAACTGTTATGAGAGTAAGAAAGATTGGAATGAATTGTTAGACGATAATATTTTATGTTACATGATTCCAGATGCTGTAGGGGTTAGCCCATATTATATGTTTTTTAAGAAAAATTCTATCTGACTGATTTACACTAAAAACGGGGAAAGTGGTGGAGCTCGTTAATGCTGATGGTACATCATGGGAGGATATGAAGGTGGGCTAAACCATGAAAGGTTATGATAAACCGGTACATGCTGAAGATCTTAAAGTAGGTGACACAGTGTATCTTGTCATAAAGGAAGGTAATAGATTTGATTACGAACACTAAGGCGACCATGCCACCATATTGAAAGTTCTTGGCCCTGACAAATTTATGATTCAGCTGGACGGAAGAGATAAAATTTGTCATCGTAATCAGCTTAAGTTAGTGAAGGTGGCCCCAACAAAATGTGATTTCAGAGTATTAGGGCACCTAGGAAACAAAATTTATGTGACTCAGTTTTTAATTGTCCCATTATACCTGTTGAGGAAAAAGAGGAATTTCTAATAAAGGTTTAAATAGATGCTTTTCTATTAGCTTGTAATATATATGGTTGGATTATCTATAATAACTTGGTTTATAGTAAGCATTTAGTAGTCAATTGTTTGTTCATGTGTATGTGTTAGTGTTTTGCTTATATTTTCTCAGTAGGAAATGCTAACAGCCGAAACCTTTTGGGAACACCTGTCAACATAGCTGTTAGTCAGACCTTTCCGATTCTATGTTAATTTTGTTGAGAAACTAGACCATTTAAAATAACCTAACTAGTTTAATTGTTAGTTGTGTTTAAGAAAATCAATCCATATTTTTTGTTTTTAAAAAAAGTGCATATAATTTTTATTAGAGCACTTATTCAATATCTTAAAAAAGGGATGAGGGAAACTACATAAACTTTTTTTTATAAAACGCATTTATTGTTTAATAACGAATTAAATTACAGATCATTTAATAACTAGGTTTTAGTTATTTTAATTGTGGAATTGGTCATTTTAAATATCAAAAAATTACTATAAAATGCGTCCGTGTTATTTACGTTAAAGCTATTAATGCTTTTAAGAGAAAGGGCAGTGTGTGAAATTGGAAAAGTACAATAATGAGGTTCTTTTAATTTCCCTAACAGGAACAGACCGAAGAAGTCAAAAGTAGAATGGCTTAAGTAGTTAGTCCTGCCGGACAGCACCAAATTCAAAATTAATCAGAACAGTTAACCTCGCATAATTAAGTATTACTCATTACTATAACCGACCAAACTGTAGCTGTTTCTCTGACGTATACACTATTGGCTTAAAGTAAGTTACAATTTTTTTAATGTTTTTTTTATTTAACCTATAAAGCTTAGCCTTTTGGCGGTCATATTTGATAACTACGACAATTTTCAAGCTAATATTAAGGGCGCAGTGCATAGGAAAACAACCCATTACTATACTTTAAAATAGTATATACATATATAACGAATAACTGGGTAATATCGCCCTAACCTACAATACCCTTACCAAACCTTCAAAACCTAACGGAAGGGTTGACTCTACCTTTTTACCATAGGAGCTACAACTGTAACCATTAAATAATTCGCTATGCATTAAGCATGGGTCCTTTTACAGAACCGATACCTTTGCCTTCGAGAACCCGTTGGTAAATGATATCAAGTTTCGAAGACATTGCACAGTTGTGACCTTTATGCACCGTAAGAGGCGTAATATATACCGGATTTCGGGTTATTATAAAGGGCACTGAGTTATAAAGGTGTCAAAAAAGAAATGATAAAGTCTAGCATGTAAACATGAGTGTTCCTTTTTCCATAAGTAAATTTTGTCTTTATTAAAAATGTTAATCTTATAATGGCACTATCACGGGTAATGGTTTTAAGATGCGAAACTTTATCTATATACATAGAAGGAAGGAATGTCTAAATTTTTTAAATTAATACGATATACACTAATTAAGCAATCCTATTGACCACAACACATTTTGACATGAAAAACAATTAATATTAATAAATCTGTGGTGTAAAGAGAGAAATAAAATTCTACACATTACGAACTTAGCTTTTTCTCGCACATAGAGCAACAAAGCAAAGTTAAGAACAAAACTTAATGACAAATTTCTAAAAAAAACTATTCAGAAGTTGACAGCCAAATAACAAAATTTCAACCAATCAGATACAATTATTTTCATGACAATTTAACGAAAAATTCGAAAAGTTAATGTTATAGTGAATAAATTCAGCAAACACAATTTATTTTTTTTTCATTACTGCTGTTCTAGAACAGTACTATTACTGGTAGTGGTTGTAATAAGCTTAATATGTATATAAATCGTAAGGTAGCAATAAATGTATAAATATTTGTTAAACAATATATATGGTACACAGTTAATCCCACTTAAATCAGAGCACCTTGTAGTTAAGAAACAAAAAGCAGGAAAAATTAGATATTCTCCCGCAGGGCAGGGAGGAAGAGGGGCGTGGGTGGATTGCTTGCAATACCTGTGTTAATACTAACATGCTAAATTAATAAATGCTTGTAACTAATAGTATAACTTTTTTTTTAATGATACAAACATGGAAGGCTTTAAATAAGAAAATAAAATTTAATTATACAAAAATATAAATAATTATTTAGCCTTTTATAAAGCGCTGATCAACTATGTCTACTATTTTCACGCTAATGAAAACCTATCAGTCATGAATAAAAACAATTATGACGCACGCAAACCAATGTCCGTAAAGGTGGCGTCTTAGAAAAATATGACCGTAGTATTATAATACAAAACACCACGTAAATGAGTATTTGATGCTACGTGCTTGTATAAGGTCAAAAGCCCCGGGGGCAGTGCACAGCAATTTAACGGAAGGATATTAATTCCATCGCTATAATTTAAACGAAAGTACCACGCGGAAGAGCAACCAAAATTAATTAAATCGCTAAGGTATATTAGTTCTTGCACTTGTTTTTCTCTTTTCTAAACGTCCCACCAAGAGACGTGTAGGAAGGAGGGCATCCCTTTGCAGGAGCTTGCTGCCTCTATTATTACATGACCGACATGCTTTCTTAATAAGTTATCATGGCCAACAATAATATATAAGCAAGCTAAAAATTAAAATGAATCGAACACACTTTCGATAAAAAAAATACCAAGTTTTCTCTTGTATAGCCCAAACTCGGGCTTGCGCCGTTTGGCTTAGGTGGTCACAAAGATGCGATCCTTAAGGACTGGGCTTGGTAGCCTTTGGCGTTCCATGCACTGACACTATCTATTCTAGTGACTGAAGTATAAAAATATATATTTAGTACAGAAATAACATATTATAAACTATTAATTTCGCTCGCCCAGAGACGCTATTTAATGCAAGAAGCAAGCCGCCCCTTTACAGGCGATAGAAGAAAGGATTCTTCTAGCCGCGTCGTTAATTAGCTTATATTTATAATTTTTATAAAAACTTATACCGACTACCTTAAACATAAACGTGGGTATTTTCTATAAACCATTGTTTATTAACGCTCTCTATAGCTTTTTTATACGACTTTACGCTTTTTACAACTAAAAAAAGTGTTGAACTCAGAGGGACAATGTAATCACAGTTATAAAATACCATAGCCTAATTTTATTACATTTTACTTTGTTGAAATTTCTTATTGTTGGGGTTTGCAAGACTGTTCCCAAAAATATTCTGGCTACCTTTAAAAAAAGTTAAAAAATCTTTACTTTGTTTCACTTTTATAAAAGTTCAAGCAGTTATCGCTAAATTATGGCTTGCTAGCTGTCTGCAAAGCCTGCCTCAGGAGATTAAGCAAAGACATCATCTCTTTCCAATTCTTCTAAGGCCTGAGGGTCGTTTATAGAATCACTAGAAGCGCTGTCCCCCGTTCGCAGCTGCACGTCTAACTCAAGATTTTCGGTTTTTTGCTGCCTCCTACTTTGCAAAGGTATTAATAAACCGTAAAGAGTAGAACAAAGTTTTAACCTCAAAAAAACCGGTTTCATGCAAGACTCGTCAAACTTTAACCACCAGTAAGCTAATCGGCCGTGGCTCACCACAGTCATTGAAGCGTCCCCTTGGTCAGCCTTTTGTTTTTGTCCGAACAGAAAAGTTATTTAACCACTTAGCCAAATTAAGACGACCGATAGTAGAAGTATTATCCGTCGTAAAAGTTTACAAATCCACTTATTGTTATTTTACTAACAATGCTGTAGAAGTCCGTCTCTTCAGCAATTGCAGCTTTAGAGTGCTTAATTTTTAGAAAGTCTAAGACGGGAACGGTGGCGCCTCCAAGGACGAGCGCAGTGCTAATGACAATCACAAGAGTGGTCAGTCCTATTACCTGAAATTATAGTAAAACTGGGGTTAGTGGATAGACGCCAGCAGCACCTAAACACCAACCCGCTTTCCCTCCGTTGAAGTATTTTTCATGGCCAAAAAAAAGGCGACGGCACCTCGCAGACCTTTTCAACTTTATAAAAAAGATTTTAAGCACAGAGTAACTCAAAGTTACGAACCTGCAAACCACATCATGAATTGAAATTTTAATGGGATTTTCTTGTTTCTCAAAAAGGTCAGATTACTGATATATGAGATAGGAAACACGTTGACTGCGCGTGAAAGCAGTGAAAATAGCTAAAAAGTTTAATGGTGCTAAGCGGTACTCGCGGAAGGGGAAATAAGTAGCGAACAAGGCACAAAGTGATAAACCCAAAATTCCAAAGTTGGCCTGGAAAAGTGAATAACGAGATCCCCAAGTAGACAAAGACAAAGTTCTCAGCCATAAAATTTAGAAGCTCCGAAAACTGAGAGAGCTGGTTCTGCCCTAAATACCGCAAAGTAAGTGGCTGAATATATAGATGACTGCACTAACTAAAAACAGTCACCCTGAGGAGACAAGTTAAAGGACGTGTAATGAGCCTGACCGATACCACAAAACAAGATCCCGACGATCCCTAAGAAAGGAAGCAAAACAGTGAGAGGGGATGAAGTGCGACTACTGACAGCCGACTAACCCGATAAAGAAAACGTTTCGGCCAAAAGAAAAGAGCTGTAGCTCATCAAAAGCAAAAGAGCTGTCTCTAAAAGGGGGTATCTGGAAAGGTCGCTATACTTCGAGCCCTGCACAAGCTGTTACTAGGTATAAAGGAGTGAATAAGGGAGTAGAAACTCGCACCAGAGCAGTGAGTAGCGCAATAAACATTCCTATACTAAGTGAACCGACAAAATTGGTCATAAAGTCCAATACAAGAATTCCAACGGAGGAAAAAGTAATTTCTTTCTCTGAACTCAAAGACGTAATCGTACTAAAAAAATGGTCAAATAAAGAACTAAAGGAGAGTCTATAAGTGTATGCCTGTATAAAACAATCGCAACTGCGTCGTTTAACATACTTTCACCAAACACATAGGCATATAAGTCTGCGTCTACTTGAAGCTCGTTAAAAATAGCCAGAACCGTCACTATAAGTCCAAAGTGAACATGTCTACCCAACCTAATAAACCCGAAAACAACCTGGATCAGTGGCCGAAATTAGCGCTCCAAATTGAAAGCAGTCGCGAGCATCAATTTTTGAGCGTAAATCATTAACATTTAAATAAACTATAAAATATGTTAACGCCCTATTACCACATAAAATAAAAATATTTTTAAAAATTTAAGGGCAGCAAACATTGATAAAAAATAGTAACAAGTAGGCAATCAATAAAAGAACCCAAATGTCAGCGAGGACAAAATAGTACCAAAAAAAGCAAACAACAAAACAACTGAAATATTTCCGAAAAATTGTTTCTAGATAAAAATATATTTAAAAATTAAATAATAAAACTAAGATTTTTAACCTTTTGAATTTTGTAACCAGCTGCAAAAATGATAGGTGGTAAGAGCATATAAAAAAATATTGAGGGGTCAAAAAGTGCAGTGGACTGTAACTCCTTATTGTTAGCGCTAAAGAGCTTGATAATTAAGCCTGTAATAACGCCTTAGAGTAAATATATGTAAGTAATACAATTTAAGTTGAACAACAAATAACAAAAAGTGGCCATTTAATATAGATAACCATACCATAGAGCATAGACAGCCCAGATTCGTGTATAAAACGCAAGCGTCTTTTTTGAAAACCCATATAGTTAATATGCTTAAGATAAATAGCAAAATTAAAATAAAAATTCCGAAACTTTTGATAATATGTCGCTCCTCTGCCACCGCATCTGTTACCTGTAGTCTAACCAGATTAATATACACTTATTTGAAACAAAAAATTGTCGTTACCAATTTTGTTCTTGACTCGGAAGGTTCAACCATAAATTCTTTGTAATAAAAAGGGTTGATGGCTTAAGGTCTAGGTAGAATAAAACGGGAACATTTATTTAGTATACAATTCTTCCTGGACTAATTCGGTGACAAGCTTCGAAATACTCGAGCTCCGATATTTCTTACCAGGTATGGTCAAACACCCATAAAAAACCGCCACCAGAAGAGGCGGCCTTAACCACTAGACCCGAGGTCAGGTGTCTCACCACTATCAGCTCGTAAACCAAGGGTGGGAGGTAGGTTTAAGGTTTTTAGTATATGAGAACCTTTAGTAGGTTTTTTAGCACTAGTCATCAGGCTACCCACAGAAGGTTTAACCGAAAGCTGCACGTCGCTCACATAGAGTGTAAAGTGCAGTGGTGAGAGAAGAAATCCTCACAAAATTCTTGCTAAATATGGGTTTTGAGGCGACAGTGTGTCGCAGAGCCTTTGGTCTTAAATTAAGCGAACGAGTTACCCGAAGAATAAGTGCTGGCGAGCAGCTCTCTTCGAGGGTTGTAACTTAATTTGTATTTTATTACAGTAGAGCGAAATGACAGCCAAATATAAAAATTTGGAGAATACATTTTAAATAGCATTCACTTTCAAACCAGCCCCCCGGAGAGACTTGAACAATGTCATTGATGAATGCATTAAGAGTCCGTTACCATCAATGATGCATATCCACATATCCGAACGACAAAATCTGTAAAATTGAAAATTGGGCCAGTGACATCGTTTGCAGATATTTGTAAGCTTTCACGCTGGAGACCCAGGCGCGTCAGAATGCGGCAAGGGCTACTTGACTGCGTAATGCGCTAAAGCACAGGACTTGCTAGCTAGATTTGCTAATTGTAGCGAACACACCCTAATAACTAACGTGACTGCAATTAACCGTAGTTATTTTCCTATAACAAACTTGTGTCACCCTTTAACGAATGCATTTAACTAGGTGCATTCTCTTTTGGAGTTGCTGTGCTTAATTTAGATCCTTCCCACGATATCCAATATAGACCAGATCCTATCGTTTAACGATTTATTTCGCATGATTTTCCCCCGCGAAGCCCACATCATGCATCCCCTGCAACCAGTGCTACTGCTGCTGATCCCCGCGTTTTCACTTTAATTTTTACTATTACAATTATATATATAAGAACAGAGAGAACAACGGTCACAATCGACATTGCGTCAACTATTATACTCGAGACAGTAAGTTGCTTAAAATCTATTATAATGGTACTTAATCCTTAGATATATCGCCATATCCGAGTACTATTCTGGAAGGCGGGGGGAACTCCAGCAGTTAATGCGATGTGACAGGGTGGAAGGATATTTGCGCCGTCAGCGAAGCGCGGCTCTCTCCAAATGTACTATTTAATTTTAAAGTTTGCGACGTTAGCGGATTACAGGGTGTTGAGGCAGGTTATAATACCGGAGTAATTGCAATTTATAACCCCTCCAAGCAACCATTCCCGCCGTTCAATCTTAAACGATCTACTTAAGCATAACTCGTCAGCCGTTCTGTATAGGATTTAATCCATTGACCCAATTTGAAGAACGCGGATTAAAATTTAAGAATCCAAACTGCTGATGCAGGAGGAGATGGGCACAGTAAACGTCTTAGATATCACCGTCTTCAAGGATATATGGCTTCCCACGGTTACCAAGTTGCTGACTGAACTGTCTCGGGTCATTTGCCTTCTCTTGGGTAACGAAAATGAGCAGTAAAGACCTTCTCTCATTTCTATATAAATTTGAGCAATTTCATTCTCGTTTCCGGCATTGCTAGAAGCTCCTGATTTACAGAACAATGCGGAAACTTACTTCGACGTGCGATTCCGCAATCTCACAGTAAAGCAATGACAGCACATGAATTGCGTATTTTTCAAAACGCCCTCCTGAAGAGCTAAAGACGCCAATATTCAAGGTCAACGCCTCATTAGAGGAGTCATGGCGTAGGCGCTTAATCGCCTACACCAACACATTTGCAAAACGCTGATGTCGCATGTGAACCAAAAGAAGAAAAAACTAACTGCGCGATATGTCGGAACCGGGGTTACCGGTCGCTTTCTTTAAAAAAGTCGCTAGGTGAGTCAGAAACATATGTTAGAACTTAACACCTTAACAGTTGTTTCCTGCCCCTTAAGGCGGGTGTCTACTTTTTGGCATGGTGAAAATTCTAACAATATACATCACGACTACCACTGCGCATCAGAAATATTGTAGTCGTAAGGAATAAAGACAATGCGGAACTTTTTGTGCCGGTCTCTTCTTGCTTCTCAGTGTTTTAACGCCTACTTCTTAACTGTCACCGACAGAGAAAAAGAGGAGTAGCGGTCATTTTATTGTCTCGTGGAAGAAGGGCACTTGCACCCAGGAAAAAAAATACAAAAAGTGGGACAAGTATATACACGGGCGATAACACATGACCCAGTCACGTGGTACCTAAGAAAAGCACACGTGCACATAATTTAACAGTTATCCCTTAATCAATAAGTGACCCTTAGACCTAGTTTTCTTTTCGACTAATAAAGCTGGTGCTTTAGAGCTGTCAACCATTAATGAGATAAAATCAATCGTCAAAACGCTCCTGAAGCTAGAAAGACACTGTCCTAACTGTATTACTAAATTCCTGTTAAAACGATTGCTGGCAGTCAGTAGCTATGTCAGCTGTGCTGTTTGTCAATTCAGTGATAGCCTTCGGCTTTCTTCCCCATGTTATAAGAAAGGTTGGTAGTCGCGATGTTTACCAGACAACGCAGCTGGCAAATACACCTCTCAAGTGACAGCCTATTAGCCTTATGTCGGCAGTTTAAGTCTAGAATTCGAAGACAACGTTTTTTAAGAAAAAACACCCATTTAAAAATAAACCATTTGAACCGTATTTTTAAACTAATATATCCATAATTAGACGAAAATAATAACACATAGTCGTCCTCTAGAAATTATACGAGACAAGTTATTTTAAACTTACTATTCAATTAATATAATATTTTTTAAAATATAAAGAGTCTTCGAACCAAATCAAACATAAAAAATCATTAATAAGTAAATTTATTATGTCAGACAAAGGAATGTTAATTTATATAAAAACAATTAAATTTAAATTTAAACAGTATACAAATAGTTAATAAACAATGAACGAATTAAAATCAAAAATAAAGCAATAAAATATTGACAAATTTTTATTTAATGAAAAATGCACAGACAAACTATAACAAAAAATATAAAAAATCTAAAACATCATAAACAAATTTTAGTTTGTTTTAAAATATCAGTCAGTAAATGCAACAACTCGGGGTAGTCTTCGACGCCCGTGAGGCATTGCTATAGTTCCAGTCCGGCTTTCGAAAAAGGCATTCAACCACCCACTAATTCTTCTGCCCAACCGGGAGGACTACCCTCGCCTTTGACTTAAGGAAAGCAGCAGGTTCCATGCTTCCGAGTTCGGCATAAAGGTCTGCTGCACAGCTGTGCACTTCAACCGTTCCTCGAGGCCTTGGAAAGTGTTAAAGTCATGTCTAACGGTCGCGTCTTCAGCGTGCGCCCGCTACGATTCACTGCCAGCAGGGATCTCTTCTCTTGCTCTCCCTGGTTCTTAAGCTATGTGCACGACGTGCCTTTTCCAGCGCCAATTCTCATGCAGGAGTTGCCCTATAAGCTGATGAAATAACGATATACTCGCCGTCGAAGTAGCCCGCACCGCAAAGGCAGCATCTGTAACGCTATCTTGACTCGCTCGCTGTCCGATGCTGTAAATAAAAAGTTGCTATATATGCGTCTAAAAGCAAAGAACTTATAACGAAGATACGGGTCTGCTTGCCGCACCCTCAACCTTCAGTGGACTTCCGTCGTGTTATCAACCGAAATACTCAGGAGGCAGCATCAACAACGAATTCTCGTAACAGTTGCACGTGTCCTACGTAATGGCTACGTTCAAGGCAGTCTTTAATGCGCTTTACCCTTTACCAATTCAGCAATAGCAAGCTTTCAATGCGCTACAAACGACGGTTGTATGTGTCTTGCATTTTCAGTCAATATTGATGTAAGCGGTCTAATACTTGGGCATCCGACTTCAAGGCAGTACTGTCCGTACTTTAATTGCGATAAAACAAGTTGCTGAGCGTGATGGAAACACATCGTGGTTTGTGCAAAATGAAACTCTCCACTAAGACCTCCAGCTGGACTAATTGAACGCTGTTTTTTAATGCAATACCAATGCCCTTTATGAGCAGCTAGCCAGGCTACTCTTTACCTGCAGACGAATCAGCTAATTTACGAGCCATGGGTTCAGCGCGTTATCGCTTCCCACGTGAAGCGATTCGAGCGCTAATTTTTGTTTCGCAGGATAAAAAAGCGAGGAAACCTTATTAACCTAAGACTAGAACGTAGTTTGTCTGCGATTACTCTCTATATAAGGCTTGAGTAGCCATTGGGGTCTCTCTTCTAAATCAGCAAGGATCGAGGACGCTTTTTATAGCAAGGATAAGCACTGCTTTACCGACGCCGTGGCCTCTCAACTAACGTAAAAATTCAGTGGTTTTCTCAGGTAAATTATGTAGATATTTTTTTCTATGCTCTTGTAACGTCCAAACGTGAATTTCTTAGTTCTCGAAGGACACGACACAGCGACCCAGATGCTCATGACAATATGTATCTTATGCTTGAACCAACGGCTTAACGGCGATAGCGCCCTTGCTCTAAGCGCGATAAAATAAATTGCTGCACCTTTAACAAGCCGTCGTTTGTGCGCAACGATATACTATACTACGAAATACAGGTTGGGCCACTGTCCACAACTTTAACAGCAATGCCATTAGGCAAGCTAACCTGCTTTTAGCAGAAGAACTCAGACGTTAGGAAGGGGCGTTAAATACCGCAGTTAGCTGGTTGAAAGCTTAATTTGTAGTTCAAAAAACCGCTGAGATTAATCTTACGATAAATAACTTTATTTGTAAAGGACTAAACCCGTCTAAGAGCTTGAGTTCGAGTTGCTAACTCGATCGTGCACCAAAAAACTCCATTTACAGATAGATTCCTCTTGCTAGAGGCCATACAGTGGCAGAAGTTTGTCTAATATATTAAAAAACTACGATTTTATATTATACTGCCTGTAGGGTATATATATGTGTATTCGTTCAACGTAATCCACTTAGTTAACTTACGGACAAGCCTTTAAGATCATAATAAACGCCATGAGATTTCAGAGGCAGCTTTATAGACCAATGCAAAAAGTATTAGTAGTTTTGTTAAACGATACTCCCCTCATCACTCGGACTGAGACGCGTTTTTCCAAATTAGCCTGGCTACCTTTGACACGAACGTGGAGCCTTTAGCTAAATATTTCGCGTTACTTATTTCAGCTATAGATTTGTGGGAAACATAACCCCGTAAACAACTCAAAGCCGCCCACAGTAAATTTAGCACTAAATCGCGCTTGTGTTCTCACGACTTGAATTATAAAAAAATCTATATAAATAGTCAAGTGTTTATAAAAAGACTGGTGTGATATTTTAGATGAAGAAATTTGGGGGGGGATAATAATTAAATCAATAGTTTGTTAGCTAAATGTATAGCAGCGGTGAGGTTAATAACCAGTAAATTAAGATATAACTTACTATTTTAATATTTTAAACTTACGCCTTGAAATGGTTTTTAAATGAAAGAGTGCCATTTAATATTCAGTGCCCAACAGTGTAAAAATTTTAATAACTAAAATATTAACCGCTTTAACAGCAAAACATAAACCCTAAAAAAAAAAAGAGTCACAGTACAACTTTCGGAGATTCAAATGAATACCAACAAATTAATTGTAAAAAATCAGTGAACTGCGCTCAAATTTTTTTTTTAAAAAAAGGGGGCTACGGCCCTAAAAATTCTTTTTTATAATTAAGGCTTGCTAAAAATATTAAAGCTTAACTTAAGTATTTATTAAGACCGGCTAAATAGTTAATATGCCAGTCAAGTAGCATCACAAGTAATTTCCTCCTGCACTTCAGGCTTTAATAGTTGTTCTACACTATAGCTCAGAGAGGATTCATATACGCAAGCGATCGAAGTGTGGGAGATGCTCAGGCTTTGAGTGCTTAAAGCTGCTATACAGTTGCGAATGCGAGCTATAGTCTCCCGCTGTGCAGCGGAAAAGGACGGAAGATTAGGTTCCACGGCCGGCCCGGTGCTTTCATTACAAGGAATACTAATCCATATATAGCCGTTAACTCCCAGTATTGCCAGAACACCGCAAGGTAAAACAACGTAATGCGTTTTAGTCCTCTTGATAAGTGCTGGTTGCACCTTCAGAAAACTCCCGTGAGTAAGCTAAATTTGCAAAAAAAAAAAAAAAAAAAAGCAGTTGATAAGCGTTATCGTTAAAAAGATATAAACCCAGAGACGACCTTCTGACCGGTTTTAACTCTATGAAGGGACAAAGAACCGTCAATATGAGAAATACTCTGAACTTCAGCCCATATATTAGATTAATTAAAAAATAAATTAAAAAAATATAGAAGCCCCCCAAAATAGATAAAGTCAAGAATTAATCTCTTCCTATGAGTAAATAAAGATACTGCTAATAAATCTCCTTCCACAAAATATTCTCTCATTAAAAGTTCATCTGCAGCGGTCCTACGGCGCTGATAGTTAAAGGTAAAAATAGATCAAAAAATGTAGCCAAATTAAAAGGATAGTATTATATAAAAATTTCTTTACATAATATGTTAAAAAAATAATAATAAGGAGGTTAACTGTAACGTTTCCAGGAAGATTAACTGCGGAAAGTTGAAGTATCGAATCAACTCTAAGAGTTTTTTTTTAAAATAAGATAAATAATATTAAACGCAGTTACAACCTTGAGTTAGTATCAACCTTCCACTTTCGTTGTAAAACTTCTGTTACTCTTCCAACTACAATGTCACCAATCTCCCCGTTATATTTAGTTTTTAATGGGCGCACACAAACGAGTTTGTTCACTTTTTCTACCACTCCAGCAGTAGATGCAAAAAGCTTTTCACCCTCGGAATAAGTGCCGTGACCCCTAAAATTTGAAAAAAAAAATATGAGAGAATTGGAAACACATATTATTTATATATCACCGAATGCTCCCGAGCTCTGAAGCTACAACCTCCGCTGGAAGCACAACCGTCTTTATGCTGTGATAGAAGGTATTAGACTTCACCCCAGTTAGCCTAATATCGACTTTTAAAGACGTCATTTATAAATTACATGGGCAAAACGAAGCAGGTTAAATTTTGGTAACAGAACGAGCAGCCACACTTGCAAAAAATTTGTTAGTATAAACATTGCATATGATAACAGATTGCTACGCGAAGGCCGCGTGCATTACTAGGTCAAGCGTTTGCATTGCTTTCCTGCTCTCAGTTATTCGCAGGTAGTCTTGTTCTCAAAAAAAAAAAGATTTTTAAAAATTATAGCATCTCAATATTCCATGGGTTTTCCTCATTATCGAGAAAAAACCGAGGCAGTGTTCCTTTCTAATGTAAGGGAGCCTGGCTCTTTCTCGCATTGATTATGCTCATTTTTGGCACCAGCTAGCGCATGCGCCTACAGGTGCTGGCGTCGTAGCTCCAGCCTTTTCGATAAAGGGTGTCATGCATACATAGCACGAACAGGTTAAGATACAGCAGAGACCCTTAAGAGCTCCTGCGTCAAGAGCTAGTAACTGTGACAGCGCAACTTTTGTAAAAACCTTTAAAAAGTCTTCTCAACATAGTCCATTTTGTAGTCTATGTGTTATAAACTGGCTATGCTTATACCCGAAATGGAATCCAGCAACACATGTAGCTCCGTACAAACCGGTCCAGAACTATAACTTTCCAAAGTTTTTTTGTTTAATATGAGAATAAGTATGGCGATATTTGTTGAAGTTCTAAGGTAGTTACGGTATCTTCGATGGCATCAGATTAATGGCCATTACGCCTTGGAAGGAATAAAGCCTCACTGCAAAAAAAAAATTTATTTAAAACCTAAATCTTTACTGCCGTCGTAGCCTGTCACCAGAAGAAACCCATGCTGAAGGTAAGCAAGGAGAAGCGAGATGGTAAGCCAAAGTGTGGCCTTTATTCGTTGCATTCAGTAATAGTCATGTCCTTAAAAATGTGCCAATTTTTACTCGCTTAATAAAGTGCCAAAAAGATGGAAGGTTTTATCGACTACATCAAAGAAGCCCTACAGTTACGCCTCTCAGTTATTGTGGTGAAGAGCCATCAACTCTTTTCAAATGTTCTATTAATATGATTTAGCAATGATGAGACTTTTAGGCTGTGTCAGCGGCCCAGGATATGAAATGACAGTGTAGCTGAAGAGGGTAAACAGTTTTTATGTAAAATTGTGATTAAAAAAAACTTGTGTAGCTATTTGTCCTTATTTTCTAAAAGAATTTGCCTTTTTTCCCAAGAAACTGTTGGCGTGGTACTAAAAATTACAAAAATGTATTGGTACATTGGGAAACAGCATTTTCCCGTCAAAGATACTATTTTTGATGGGTTGTTAGCCTACGTCATAAAATTTTGTAAATATTGTCTATCTCTATGGTTGTTCTTGCAGGCAAAATTTCTACAGTATATTTTAAAACTTTTACATAGAGGTAATGCATGAAATTGGTCAAGTCATCATTGGGTTGTAAAAAATAATAAAGAATACCGATTTAGGCAAACAAAATCCAAATCTTGCTTTAAATTTTTTTTTTAGACAAATCCATTATAATAGGCTTGAGGATAGATATTGTTTAATTCATGAGTTTATTTTGCCCTTTAAAAAAAGTCCTTAGAGTCTTAGACAACAGAACCGTTTTTTTAAGTTATTAATTAGACTTGTAATACAATTATTGGGTTTCATATAAATATTTATTAGATAAGCTCTTTGATGCTGTGCCCCTAAAGAATAGTAGTATGCAAAGTATAACAAAGGACATAATTTATAATTAATTGGTCATTAAACACGGAAATGATGAATTTGTTTAACTAATTACTCCAGCGTTAACTATATTCTTTTTTTTTGACAACTCGAATGCTCTTTAATTTGAGCCCGTTCTAGTTGAATTTAATAAGATGCTAGGATGCTCTTCAGTCAGAGGCCTATTCGGGTTTCGGTTCAAACCCTTGCTAAACTTACTGAAACTTCAGTCTACATCTTTAGCCTTGTTTCTAATATCTTCTAGGAGTGGAGGTAGTTTCCACTTTTCTGTTTTCTAAAGTAACATTTTGATAATTAAGTCAACACATTAAGGTAGATAAGTTACACAGCCAAATAACTAATGGCAACTGTAAGGCACAAGTAACAACAGTATACAATACGTTAGTAGGATTTAAAAAGTATAAAGTGCTAAAAATATTAATAGTAGTAGTTCAACAAACTTAAAAATGAAAAATATATTTAATAAAATACTGGTCAAGCCGAAGAAAACTTGACACATAAAACCATAACCAAAAAAATTTAATAAAAACTATAGCCCCTTTAATAACAGAAGTAGAAAAGAGAATGCAACACAAAGAGTCGTTATGTGTCATAAGTTTGAAATATCTATATAATGAATAGATTCCGGCTCACATAATTTTTTTAACGTGGGATCTCCACTTATGATCAGCGAGCAGTCGCATTCATTTTTTTTCTCTGCGGTTTCGTTCTGGACACACCTCTATATCTGTACTTAAATACACAACTATATAGTATATTTTAAAGGCTTCAAGGTTAATATATCGGAGTTCAAAGGTTTATATACTATTTGAAAATTAGCCTCTTTAAGTTGCGAACAACTTAATAATACATTAAACTTACTAAATCAATTTTCATGGTTTCGTAATAGTTTAAATGATTTTTTATAACTTTACTTATATTGGTGATAAAATAAGTTTAAAAGAAATTGAAATTATGATAAATTTATTTTATGGTATACCTTATTACTCCATATAGCTCCCTACTAAAAAGACTGTTTAGAATAAGGGCTATTTGTAGTAAAATTAATTGAGTCAATTTATGCGAAACATTCGATGCAAAACAAGTTTTAATTAGATAGAAAATATTTAAGAAAGAAATTGTTAACAGGACAAAACAAACTTGAACCAAGATCTTGAAGATGTACAATATCTTAACGTTCCATGTACCTCTAAGCATTAAAAGGGTTAAACTTTGTAATTAAAACAAAAAGGCCACTGTAGAGAAAAATATTGTAAAAAATGTGGTGTTAAAGTTAAATAGTAATTTAAACAAAAAGCTGACAAAAAATGAAATGAAGACATAGTAGGTTAAGTAGATCAGCTTCGTTATCTAGCCTAAATCTGTTTATTACTTACCGGTTACAAACTTGAAGAAAGGAAGTAAAGTTAATCACCCCACCTATGTATCTAACAATATATTAAATACTAAAAAAATAACTTAATCCCTACCAATAATTTAAGAAATTATATAATTATTTAAATTAAAGTTTTGTTTCAATAGCAACAGATTGTGTCTCTTTACATACATCGTTATTTTTGAACCTTCCTTCACTTAGTTTAATGCTCAACTATAGCATTCTTTAAAGAGTTTTATTTAAGACTTACGCCGATATCTCCTTAAAATGGATCTTAAAATTTTTCACAACCGCGAAATCTTTCCCGAATATGTGGTTAGTAAGTGCATATAATATAGTGAAGGCTAAGATGTAATATTATGTATATAAGCTAGTCGCGGTTCGAGAGATCTTTTTCTATCGCCTAGTTGCTGGTGTACTGATTCTTGCGCTGAGTAGCGGCGGGGCTAATGAAATTTGTTATTAGGAAAGCTACCATATAATTGTTTAAATGTCTGTAAGATTAGATTAGCGCCTTCATATAAAATTATTTGTTTAAAATAAACTTAAGATTAATACGAGGGTTAAACTTTCTGTCCGTTAATATGCTATGATAAGCAGTTATCTTTACAACTGTAAAGATATAATAAGAAATATTATTTTCACAGCAATATGTTTTAAAGGATTTATTCATAATATAATTTAAGGAAAGAACGAAAAGAAGTGGTTTTAATTCTGTAAGGCAATACAAAAAATTATTAGTAAGAAAAAATTAGGTATAATAATTACATAAAGTACATAACGAGAACAGGAGCCAAAGAATACTGCGGAATTCAAGACAAGGATAGGGAGAAGAACTAGAACTCACAAAGGCGACCTTTGCTCAAGTGTATTCTTCGTCAATTTTCTTCAATAGGCGCACGTAACTACGTAAAGTGTTTGTTACACCGACAGTGTTCGAACTTGCGACATTCATTTTGAGGGTTTTTCCCACCAAGCCATATGTGGTATATCTTTACTGGTTAAAAATACGTAAAACCATCATATCGAAAAAGAGAGTCGCGTCGGTGGGAATCGAACCTACGACCTTAAGGATATAATAGGGTAAATACCTAAAATTATTATCCTAGGATCGAGAGTTTCGTCTTAGCTCAGCGGTTAAGAACATTGACGAGCATACTCAAGGTCGTGGGGTCGATTCCCACTACGCGACTCTCTTTTTTCGGACTTTGATGGTCGCGTATTTAACCTCGCCGTCATGAATTTTAATATCTCTCTTGAGGGATAAAGAACCCCTTACACTGTAAGAGAAATATGATTTTACTATATTGACTCCGTATTTTGTTAGAAAAATAAGTTAACTTAATAAAAAACTAAGCTAGTGTACGAGGTATGGTCCATAACTTCCCAGCTTAAGGATGTTAGAAACGAAATTAATTCAAAGTTCTATTATTATTCAATATAATCCCCTTGCTTTTTAATACGCTTTCGGTAAATTAACTTTTTTAAAGTTCCGTAAAAAATGTCATAAGTTTTGTCTTCATATGGGCATAAACAGCCAATTTTATTTCACTATCTTCGTTGAGAGGGATAGCCCCTGGGGGTCAGGTTTGGACTGTGAGGGGATGATTCAGATCAGTAGAGCCACACTCACGAATTGCAGCTTTAGCACCTGCAGCATTATGAATTGGGGCATTCACGTACAGAAGCCTAACCTTGACTAAGCATTCCACGCCGTTTTCCTTTTATGACATCACGTAGTTTATTAAACTCCCTTGGTACATCTCGTTAACGGGGTAAGGAACCCAGAAAATTGTGATCATCACTTTTTCTGGAGATGGAGGCCTTTTTGCTTTTCTTGGTGGCGGTTCAACCCCACGACCCCACTTTATTGATGGGTTAATACTAATCCGCCCCAGAAGAGGGCTTCCTGAGACAATAAGTTTAGCCTCGTTGCAGAGTAGAGGGTGACATGACCCGGCCAAAGATGAGTTTACATTTTAACAGTATTCCTTCTTCTCGACCCAGGTTTCGCCTCCAGACACAATGGGGTCAATTACTTCTTTCTCGTTATTTCCATAATTTCACGACAGCACTCCACACGTTGTTGTTTTTGAAGTGGGGTGAGAATTTTGGGCACCCTCCTTGCGCTTACTTTTGGCATAAGTAAAGGTAGGCGAAGATTTCGATAAACAGTTTTAAAAGATTGGTAAATCTTGCAATTTTTTTGGTCTTTAAATGGAGAACACCTAATACCACTTTATTTTCCGGAGTGACCACTTCTGATGACGACCTTGATGTGGATGGTTTTCTTCCTAAAAAGAAGAGCTTTTACCATTTTCTAACATTGTTTAATTTCTGTAGGGTTAACACCCATTTTAGTAAAAAACTTTAACACCGATCCCAAAGTTAAACATTTTTTTTAAAAATTCTTGATTTCACACCACTTAGTTGATTATTACTTTAAAGTTGAAAGAGATAAATGAATTAAAATTTTTCTCAAGCTAGTAAGATATAAATGTAGTTAAGTATTTATTAAAATGGTTGCCTATTTTTCAAATAGGGTAGCTGGGAATATATGGACCATACCAGGTATCTGTGCAACGTATCTGATTAGTGAAAATCACCTTTTTTGGGCCACTTTGAATTAATGTCCTATGGTTTTTAAATTTGTCCGTTAATAAAATTCTTTGTTGTTATAGAATTTTGAATTTTTCTTTTACAAATTTATATATTATTCTAGTTCAAATATTTAGTTTATTCTTATTGGTGTTAAGTTGTTGTTCTTCTGTAAAAAAGGATTTTGTTTTGAATATGTTTTTCTTAATTAGTGTTTTTTGGCATCCTACAGTAAGGGAACATCACGTTGTTAGTTTTCTGCTTAAAAGTGTGACTTACAATTATAAAACCATAGCTAAGATAACAAGTAATGAGAAGTGAAAGGGAGGAGACAGGGTCTCTAGCACCCAGACAAACTTTATGTTTTGAACTGCCCATCATGAAAGAAAGTGAAGGGGTATCAAATTCTAACAGAAGACAAGAGCGGAGCTTACAAGCTTCTATTACATGTTGAATTATTCGCAAATTAAGGCCCTTACCCTTGCTACTTCATTCTATGATTGTCTTAAGAAATGCATATTCGAATTTTGCAACATTTCTTCCAAGCGTAAGGAATTACTCAAATTCACGACTTTAAGCCACTATGACAGTAGTTTTGTTAAATTCTTATTGGAGTTTACGCTACATAACATATTAACGACGAGAAGTATGATGAGTTGCTGGTAGGCTTAAAATGCAACAAAAACTACAAGTTTATATATAAGGGATTATGATCAGAAAAATATGATAGCTTTTTATTTAAAGGAAAGGGGGACTTGCTATTTCATCCCTACCCTTTCTCTTCAATATTTTTTTTAAAAAGGAACAAATGTTAGTCGCACGTTATGCATCGTAAATTTCTCAAACTTTTATGCCCTTACGCCTACTTAATACTATATACGAAAACTAAAGCGAGAACGAGGTTGGTAATTATTAGGACTTGTTTCCTCAATAAACGATTGTCTGCTCCATTAAGGTGGGGCGCCCATTTTTTGCCTTAATGGGAAATTTAACAGTAATTACCGCCTAGGGGAGGGACTGTACACCTCGCTCTATTAAGACAATGAATAAGTAGAAGAGCGTGAAACGGTCGTCGAAGAATCTTTGATGAATAAGTTTTTCAACAATTCAGTACTATGACAAATGAGTGACCTAGTTTTCCCCCCAGCACCTTTTAAAAGAGTAAATACGCAAATCCATTATCCCGGGATTGAGAGTTGTTGGCATACTCCAGATCGTGGTTTCAATATCCTCCAACGTTACTCTCTTTCTCTAACTTTTTCGGCCGCGTATCAAATCTCGCCTTTATAATTTCTAATACTCTCGCACATCTTAAAGAGTTAACTTATTTTTCAAAAATGCGGTGTAATTTTCTTTGAACTCCTTTTCCAGGTCAAGGCAGCAGATAATAACATAGCATACTTTCACTGAGACCTCAAAAAAAAACCCTGCATTTATACCGGAAGTTCTATCATGCTTATTTTATGGGTTTCCAGAGATTTGGAAGTTTTTTTTTTATAATTTTGCGCACAAAAAATTCCAGCTGTTTGAATTTTTTGTTATAAGAGCTTGAGGAAAGAGGCGTAAATTACTCAATGCCAAGGTTTAACAGGCAATTTTCTAGTGCACGCTTGTGTGTGGAGTTCAGATGTAATGTAGCTAGGCTTTTTCCTGTTCGCTGAAATATATCTAGCGAGCAACGCAATAAAATTAACTGTACTCATTAAACTTCCTGCATTTCTATTTCTATTGGGGCCATAATTTATGTTTAAACAGAAATTTTTAATTTTTTAAATGTGTATATCCGTAAATTAGCTTTTTCAAGAGTTTTAGTGTGTTTCAGCCCCATTAGTAGTTTTGTAAATACGGCGATAAGTATAAATAGTATATTATGAATAAAGGTATTTTTTTAAAGCAACTCCAAAGCAGCTTTTAGTAATATTAATATGCTAGACCTTTTAATATAAAGCATAATATTTCACCAAGTCTTCCACTTCTTCCTTAGCTGTTAACCATCACTTAAACTTCATGCTTTAGTTTGATTTTTAAAATATTTTTAGAAGTCGTGTGTTTGAGCTGAGCCAGCTCATAGCAATGTATTAATTTATTTGCCTATGTTTGAAAATTATTGTATGAGTTCTTAATTAGTATATTTCATTGTGGTTTATAGTCAGAGATTAGTCCGGGAGAGAACACAATAGCATTAACTAAGCAACTGTTACCAAATTTTTATTACCTTTCGTAAAAAGTAAATTTATTTCAACTCTCTTGACGTCAGTATACTGTGCTTCCACATTTACAGCGGAGGAATTAACTGAGCATGGATGTTGCATGCAAGAGATTAAGTAAATTACAATTAGAGTTTGCTCTCGTCTCCATTAGTGGTAGGGGATTTAAGCTTAGGATTGGTGGCTCGTTTGTAGCCTACATTGGTTAATGTCGAATGTATAACTTTAGAAGTTACGATAAGTTTCTTTGGCTATTATGTTATTTCCCAATTTTTCTTTATTTTTTTGCATGTCTGTATACTAGATTACTTATACACTTTAAAAAAGAAGGTTTCGTTAGCCCCAATTATTACAGAGGTTGTAGAGTAAAATTCTCATAGAGCGGTATTATGATGATAACCATATTAGGAAAGTCTTTATATAAAGTCTAGCTTATTCTTTTAATCGTTAAAAAGCAATTTTTATTTTCAAGGCGCAATTTCTTTTTTTTTTCTGGCTAAGTTATACGTAATTAGGTGGGCATCATGAGTATATGTTAAATATTCTCCGACGTTAAAAATTGGACGCTCACCTTAAGGAGGCAAAAAATCATTTATTAAGGTGTCAAGCCCTAAAAAGTACAATGTTACTGAGAGATTGATCCAATTTGGTTTTCCACGTGACCCTTGCCAATTTGAAATATAATTTTTTCTGCCGTGCTTGTATAGATATCAAATTAATATTACTGATTAATTTATTAACGACCCAATCTTCCTGTGAATTTTTTTTTGAGGTTATTGTTGTATTTTCTTTGTTTAATTTGGTGTTTTTTATGTGTTTTCCGCTTATTACATTTTTTTATAATCGTTTTTTAGTACATAAATTTATGTGATTTCATTGTCTATTTCTTGTAAATGATAACTGTGGTTTTGTTGCCTAATTGTTTTGATATTATTTAAAATAAAAATATTTTGTTTAGTGGGTTGTGTTTTGTTATAATTTTAAAAAAAAAACAGTAGTATACACCGCCTTTGTCCCACGTGAAGGCTAAAAAACTTGGCTCTGCGAGGTTAAAGCTGGTAACTTCCTAGTTGTATATCAAAATATGTTGAATTATCCCGTTTTATTTCTTTGTTTAAGCTATAGCGCCCATTAACTTAAGAGTTGCAAAGAAATAGGCGAAATTAATATCTTTTAATAAATCGCTTTGCACTACACCCGAGAGAGCTTTCTCTCGTGCGCGCGTGTACCCTCGTATACCATATACTTATTGTTGGCATCTTTAACACTGACTCACATCCCCTTATCTACTCTTACGGGCGTTAACTTTCTCATCATGCGTGATGACCATATAAATTCACACTGTTAAGTTCTTATTAACTTTTTAAACTTTATAAATACTTAGCAACACATATAGTTGGTGTTGTTTATAAATTAATTTGCCTGTGCATGTTCTCATTTGCATATAAAAGTTTTTTTTGTATAATTCTACTGCTAGGAGTTATCTGTTGTGTATCATAATTGCAGCTAATAAATCTCCTTCGCAAGGCCCCCGCTTATATTAGACTTCGGCCTCTTGTGAACAGCTCTCTGGTGGTTTTGTGCAGAGTTTAAACTGCAAAGACCCCTGCATCAGAAAACCGCTTTTTTTAAAGTCTAAGCCGGTAACTCGGACGGAGCTTTCGTATACCTAACGAACATGGAGACATTTTATTTGCTAGATATCGCCATTCTGAAGGCTAGGGGCCGGTTCACATTGCTGCCACTTCCAATGCGACATTATCACATGCCTTTGCACTACCTCCCAACAACTCCCGCCCTATAGGACAGAAATTCTTCTACCCTCTTGGCGACGTTAAAATTTGATAGTTATGTGAGGCTGATTAATTAAGATATAACTGATATCTCTAAATAGTGCCATTAACTAAATGTCTATAAGCAGTAGACCCTAAAATCAATATAGAACTATAAAATAGCAACGAAAAGTTAAAAGTTTAAGGTTATTTAACTTTCTAATTTTATTTATTTACTATTAATGATAAGTGTAGGCCAATGGTATCTTGCGAAAAATATCTAAAGGGGTAATGGAAATTACCGATCTTCACTTCCCTGAAAGCCAGTAAAATTTATTTAAGAAACATGGCAAACAGTCTGTTTACAAACAAGGCATCAGTTCTTCTATAATTTTTTCCGCGAGTAAAACTTATCATTTAAGTTCTGAACTTACTCCGTATTAGATATCCTAGTGAAAATTAATTTAGTGGTTATAATATGGGCTGGGTCGTGCGAGGTTAAAATACGTAAATATCATCGATTAGTGAAGACTGCGCCGATGGGCACCAAACGAGAATTTATGCTTCTATTCGCTGGTTGCTGCCCCAATAAAATTTAATTTGTTAAATAGCGCTTTCTGCTGGCGTTTCTCTCATTTTCCCCTCGAGATAACCTTTTTACTCTACCTTTATCAAATATTAAGAATATGCTAACAAAGGCTAGTAATTTAAAGACAAGCGTAAACCCAGTTCAACTATACAGGTTAAAGTCTTAAGTATAGTTCCATGCTTAAACTTATTTGATATTAGAGCAAAATATCTTTTAAGGAAATTCACAGTTCTTCAAGTTCCAATTTTATCGGATAATTATGCTCATGTGCTGGTTGATAACAAAGCCCGGTGCATCCTAGCTGTGGATCCTGCCGATCCGGTGAATGTCCTTAAATCAGTTTATTCAAAATATGAAAAAAGTTTTGCTTTTACTTCCGTTTTACTCACCCACAAGGTTTTTTAGGAGAAATTAACTTTCAGCCCTTTTAAACTTCATACTTTCTAGCATTCTGATCACACTGCGGGTAACAAATATTTTTATAATCACTTTTCGAAGTTAGATATTATTGGTTCAAAGTATGAAATCTGCCCATACGCCACTAAGACGGTTAATCTTAGCTTAGCAAGACTATTAAATTATAGTTTTAAGGTCCTATAGGTTGGAGACGGCGATGTGTTACAGTTTGGGGAAGCTACTCTTCGGGTACTGCACGTACCAGGTCATACCAAGGGGCACTTAGCTTTTTTCGTAACAACTCCGTCTTCCTCGAATCCACCAAGTTTTATTAATAAATAATTAGCATAATTTTATGTTATATCATTGTTTCCTAGTCCTCTTCAGCGGAGATACCCTCTTCGTTGGAGGATGTGGTAAAATTTTCGAAGGAACAGCGAAAGATATGTACTACTCGGTAACCCTTATTTATAACAATTAAAAGTCTGTCTTCTGGTATACTTTCTCATTCTAACACGCGCTAACACTTTTTTAAACAAAATTAGCTCAAAATATTAACGAATTTACCACCGGAAACGCTTGTGTACTGCGGTCACGAGTATACACGTAAAACAGCAATACGTCTACCTTCAAGTTAATCTTCTAACAACTTTCAAAGTATCTAATTTAAGATTTGCCTTAACTGTGGAACCGAATAATGAGAAGTTAAAAAGTAAACTGAAATGGACCATCCAACAATTAAACAATCAAAGATCCACAGTCCCATCTACGATAGGCGAGGAGCTCGAATACAATCCTTTTTTAAGAGTAGAAGAAGAGGAAATAAAAGTGTCAACAGGTAAAAACTCACCAATAGAAGTTCTGGGTGAGCTAAGAGAAATGAAAAATAACTTTAAATAAAGAACTTTTAACTTTATACCTTCATAGAATAGAATAGGCAAAGTGCAAAGTTTAAAGATTTTAAGAATGAGACTTCAAAAACGTTTCAAACTACTTAAAGTTTAACTTTGACTGCTTTTAACCAGAGCAATAAGATAATCCGCAAACTCCGCAAACTCCGGATCTTTTAAAGCTTCCTTAATTAACTCGTTCGGTATCTCCTGACTGGAACTAAAAAGAAAATTCAACGCGCTTAAAATAGTCGTTTAGGCATATAACCTATTAATTTTCCGCACATACTCTTGAAGTTTTAAATTTTCAGAGAGCATAGTTTTCAATTTTTCATCATATTTAATATTAAGCAACCGAGAAAGAGGAATCTGAAACTCTTCGTCAATTCCTTCGTAAATAATATTATTAAAGGGGTCTGAGGTTTCTGGAACTAAGGCATCCGTTATAAAAGGTTTAACGTCGACTTGCGAGTTTTTATTCTGTTCAAGGTTAATAGCTTTTGAACTATTTCGAGGGCAACAAAGTTCCTCTAGTTATTTAAATTTGACATAACATTTTTAATGAAAATTAAATGAGTAAGCCTAACAAGTGTAACGTATCATAGTTACCTTGATGAAACTTGAAGCAACCCACAGAGCAACTATATAACATATAAAAGTAAAAAAGTTAAAGCCAGACATAATCCGAAAACTAATAACCAATATATCAATAGTGAAAAAGCTTTAAAAAATTTAGACGTACTATTTTATAAAACATTTAGGGCACTTATATTTACAATAGCTTTCTTTACAAATTTCACAAGTCACCATTTATTGTCGATAAGTGATATTAAGCGTACTCTAATTTACAGATGCAACACTTAAAGTTAACCCAACTCTCGGCACCGACTCTCCCCCGTGACGAGCGCAGAGGGAAAGACGGTTTTCCGCCCTCCTCTCATGTTCCCCTCCCCCACGTTTTTAGCCCTGCTTGCATATGCTAATAGCGAATAGCCGAAGATGAGGTGATCACTTAGAATCTTAGGCTTCACACTAGGTTGCTCTAGATGAAGAAATAACATCTTTTGTAACATGCCATTACTTTCCTTTCAGTTGGTGGGCTTACTAGAGAATTTATATATATTGTTACTTTATTTTATACCGTTGAGGGTCTTTTCAGGATGAGTCCGATATACTTTACGAAGAGGAGATTATAAAAAACAAATACAGCCCAAAAGTTTGGTTAAGGTATTTGGATTATAAAAAAGACTCTCCGCAATCTGTTAGAAACTTGGTATTATACATAAATGCTGTTTTGTTTTGTTTCTTTTTCTTTTTCTGGTAGTTTATTTTTTAGGTGAGTTAAGTTTATGATTTTAAACTTGTACTTGGAGTTAGAACTATTATTTATTTTGTTACTGTTATTGTTTCCTTTCCCTTTTTTTTGGTTATAAGCATTTTACTTTTATAAGATTTATGAAAGAGCTTTAAAGGAAATACCCGGATCTTACAAAGTTTGGTATGCTTATTTAAGGGAGAGGAGGGGGCTTGTTCGCTATAAATCACCCCTCGATCCCACCCTTGAAGATCTAAATAACGCCTATGAACGATGTTTAGTGTTTCTTCACAAGGTTATATAAAGTTATATGACTTTTATAAGTCCACTTAAATTTTTGGTTCCCTCTCACAGATGCCGAGGCTCTGGACCGAATACTTAACCTTCATGTCTGCACAGCACAAGATCACGAAAACTCGGCGCCTCTTCGATAGATGCCTCCGTGCTCTTCCTATTACTCAGGTCTATTGGTGTCTACGACTCTACAGTTTCCTGTTATAATTTTTCATTTACCTAGCACCATCGCATCTGGCCTCTTTATTTAAAGTTTGTAAGGCAGTACAACATTCCTGAAACTACTGTTCGTATATGCAGACGCTACCTTCAGGTTATTAATATGACTTGTTCTTCTTTTTTTCCTTTCTCTAGACTATTACGCTGCCAGTTGGAGCCGTACGACGTAGAAGACTACATTGACTACTTGAAGTCGGTCGGAAAGTTTGACGAGGCCGCTACCAGGCTGGCCACCGTTGTGAACGACGTACGACTGACTCCGCCAGCACCGAATAAGCAGCGTTAACGTCTCACTTTGTTTGTAAGGACCATTTTGCTTCAAAGAGAGGGAAGACACCTCACCAGTTTTGGACGGAGTTGTGCGAGCTTCTCTCTACCAATGCAGCCCATATCACCTCCCTTAAGGCAGAGCCCATCATCCGCTCCGGTACTAGCGCCCATTTTCTTCCACCGGAACGCTTAAACTACCACGTGGTTACAGGTCTTGTGCGTTTTACGGATATGGTTGGGCATCTCTGGGTGGCTCTTGCCGAGCACTTTACTCGCTTGAAGTTATTTGAAAAGGCTCGTGACATCTATGAGGAGGCGCTGTCATCCGTGATGACCGTGCGTGACTTTACTTTGGTACAGAGTTCTCTTATCGGCCCAATGGGGAACTCTGTTTACCTTTTGGTAGGTTTTTGATGCTTATTCGCAGTTTGAAGAGTTACTACTTCGGTCACTTTTTGAAAACTTGGGCCTAAGTCTTTTTTTAAAAAATGCATAACAGTTTGAGACTTATTGTTTCTAATGAAGACGAACAAGAACCTGTTGATGACGTGGACTTGGATTTAAAAGTTGCCCGTTTTGAAAATCTCATGGATCGAAGGCCCATATTGCTAAGCTCAGTGCTGTTACGCCAAAACCCTCATAACGTTAACGAATGGCTTAAGCGGGCCCTTTTATTTTCCAGCAATCCTCTTAAAGTACTCTTTTCTACGGCCTTTGCTCGCCCTTTTTAAAAGCTCTTCGTTTCAGGTCATCGAGACATACACTAAAGCAGTGCACACTGTCGACCCTCATAAGGCCACGGGCAAGCTGTGTGAGTTGTGGATCTCCTTCGCTGAGTTTTACGAAGGTGTAGCTATTACCTTTTTCGTTTTCATGCTGACTGACTCACTGCTCAAGAGCACGACCAATTGCATGAGGCTCGAGCAGTGTTTGACAAGGCGGTAACGCGTGCCTTTAAAAAATATGATGAACTAGCGACCGTCTGGTGCGAGTACGTCGAGATGGAGCTGAGAAACAAGGAGTTTAGGAGAGCCGTGAGCCTTATCAAGCAGGCTACAAACCAGCATGTGCGTCTGACACCGGGCGATCCTGTGAGTTCGTTACCTTATAATTAATGCGGGTTCTTAACGCGTCAACTATGTTTAGGCCAATTACGTACGCAGCCGTTTATATCGTTCTCTGAAAATATGGCAGCTCTACTTGGACTTGGAAGAATCGTTCGGGACCTTTGAGTCGGTAAAGTCTCTGTAAGTCTGCACACGGGGTAGAAGGGGGGTACTTGCAAGGCTGTAACTTATTTTGCTTACAGCTATTCCCGTGTGCTGAGCTTGAAGGTGGCCACACCGATTGTTGTTATAAACTTTGCCAAGTTTCTACAGGATCACAACTGTTACGAAGAATCGTTTAAAGTTTTCCGTTCCAAGCCGTTTCCCTTGTATGCGCTTCCATTTTTGCCCTTAAAAGGTTTATGAAAGAGGCGTCAGCTTGTTCAAGTGGCCACAAGTCTACGACTTATACCTATATTACATCCAGGACTTCCTGCAGAGACATGTTTCATGCATATTACTCATGCTTTGCCTTAGTAACTGATGAAACTTAGGGTAAGGAACTTGGAGGGAGTATGCTGGAGAGAGCACGCGATATCTTTGAGCAGGCGCTTGAGGCGTGCCCCAGTGACTACGCAAAAGTTAGTGTCCGTGGAGTTAGCTTTTTTAGATTTGGTTTTACTCTACAAATAGACGCTGTTTCTGATGTACGCCCAAATGGAAGAGGACCACGGACTGGCCCGAAGAGCGATGAATATTTACGAGCGAGCTGTCGCAAAATCTTGCGATACGGACAAGCTCGAGCTCTTCCGCGTTTACATCAAGCGTGCTGGTTGGTTCCCTTGTTCGCTTGCATACGGGTGGCTCTCAAGCATCTTTTGCCGACAATGTAGCTTCTTTATACGGGGTGACCAGGACCAGAGAAATATACGAAAAGGCATTGGAGGATCTGGGCGACAAGGACGCCACGACCATGTGCCTTGAGTTTGCTGCTCTGGAAGTAAAGCTTGGTAATGCCCGTGGTACTGGCTCTCGCGTGTTGACCCGAGACTGTTCATTCGACAGGCGAGGTCGATAGGGCTCGGGCCGTCTACAGCTACGGCTCCCAGTTCAACGACCCGCGCACGAGCCTCCAGTTTTGGAAGGTTGTGGCATGTAGCACTTTGTGGGTGCTTGATGCTTAAATACTTTTTACTTTGTGAGGCGTGGAACGACTTTGAGGTGAACCACGGGAACGAAGCCACGTTTAGAGACATGCTAAGGCTGAAAAGGAGCGTGCAGGCGTCTTACAGTACAAGAGTGGTACATGTTGTATAATGAATTTATATGAAAGAAAGGTTCACGGTTTGTTGGCCCCCAGAGCGTAGAACATGCGCTGGAGATCGCTAAATTTTTGGCAGCCAATAGCGAGCACTCAACAACTTTTGTCTCTGTTCCGTCGCAAGAACAAGAGATTGCTGCCTCCCGCTCTCAGAAAATCATAAGCTTCGTAGCGTATGCGCTTGCTTGACCCTGCCTTGGTTGGTGCCTTGATGCTGCCCTTCCTCTGAATAGGTCAGAGTGCCAGGCCCACTCCGAAATACAACTTTCAGATTCGGACTCGGAAGAGGCTGATAAAGTTGAACAAGGTAAAGCGAGCGGCCTTTTTTCGCAGAATTTCGTTAGCATTATTTTTATCAGTGGAAATTGTGCAGAAAGACGTGCCCAATGCCATATTCGGAAGCTATACCACGTGAAAGTTATAACTTTATTGGTACAATTACTTGCGTTGGGCATCTTTTTAAAAAGTGTTTAAGTAATAACTTCGACCACAATAAATTTGCTTGTTGATAATTTTACTTTAAGCGTGGACCCTGTCTGTACTGGGCTGGCATCGTCTAGGCATGCGATTCCAGCCGCTGTGGATGATTCTAGCGTAACGGGCGGGGCTATAACTCCCACCACCGCCTCCTACACGACCTTTGGTACACTTTAGGCGATCTCGGTGAACTTTTTGGTTGACGCTATGCAACCCGAAAGTGTCTTTGTCGTGGCGCCTTTCTGCTCGGCGGCTGAGAGGGCCACTCTGACTTAAAATAGTTGAGATGTCGGCGGAGGTAAGCAGCGAGAGAGGGCCTATCAGGGCTAAGGGATACTTGTCACAAAATAACGACGGATCGTCATAGGCTGGGGCAACTTTGTTAATGCCCACGTGGCCATGAGTATCTGTGTCTTCGCCGGTGGTCGTCTGCACGGCCAAATCCTGCGGATTCCGGAACAACCAGTTCAACCTGTCTGGCAAGCAAATTAACTAACGCCAGACTTAGCGGCCCACGCAAGATTCACCGCTCAAATTCAAATTCCGAGTTGAATATCAAAGGCTCGGTTCGCGGAGGTCTTCTGCGAAGGAAAATTCTCATGTTGTTGCTACTCGCGTGGTCCCTGCGGAAAGTCTTCTGAAAGTACTTCCGTGCCTGTTCGTACCACTGGTCCTCTCCAGGCTTCATGTACTGAGGGTTCCGCGTAACTGCTCCCTTACAAAGGAAGTCATAGCGCCTTTTCGTTAGAAAAAATGCAATAATTACTACAAGTAGGTTTGTCTTTGAGAAAACTACATTGAAAGTTTCTAAGAGCTCCGCGGGTCTCGGTACACTTGTTATTAACAGAAAAGCTTTTATTATTATGGAATGTTGGTGGTGTCGGCGACCGTAGGGTCTCTTCGCTGTCGAGGTCTGCAGCACCATAGCAGTTATTTTCCTAAACACGCTATTTACACTCAGTTTTTTAAAGGTTTACAAGCACAATAAAATATTTTTGTGACTATGAAAAACAAACGTAAGAATTTTAGGTTATAATATACACATTTAAAAGAAACTGGAGTTTGCCTTTTTTTTACGATACCATTTTAATTATAAATAGAAAGACCGCATAGGCAGAAAAACTTAAAAGAATGTATAGAACCAAAAATTCCGGTACTAATTTTTTAAAAAATAGCCGTAACTTCTTGCGCTAATACGCACTCAGATTTACCATAATTTCAGGGTACATTTCCTCATTAACGTTCAATTTTTTAAAATCTTCTCCTAAGTAATTTAATTAATTAAAAGTTAAAAAATAAATTATAAGGGTCTTTAAAGTAAACCTTCAGAGACTTTTACATCATAAAAAGATGGTCTCGAAGTGATGGAGATAGATTGATCTCCCTTTCAAAGCATTTAACTATTAAAAAAACATTAGAAATCCGAAAGACAACTAATAAGTTATAGTATGAAAGGAAAATAACACAGCAAATACCAACAAATTTGTAGTATGCTAACCATTTTTTAAGGTAACTGAGCTATTTTCCGAATTAATCGCGCACAAAAACCCGTCATACTTTTTGTCGTCTTTAGTAAATATCGAAACTTTATGACCCAGAAGGGGTGTTTTGTGGGTTATAACTAAATGGGGTACACCCTCCGGTGGGAAAAACAAAGAGAAATTGCTATGCAGTAGCTCTTAGCAAGATATCCAAATGTATATTGGGTCCCGTTGTCGGAAACAGCCAGTGGGCATAAATAATGGAATTATCTTAACTCTAAGTTTACTACCGCATGGGTTCACAAACGCGTCGTCCTATTCAGCAAAAGTATTTGAAACTTCACACGGTGAACAAAGATAGAAGATTTGCGTGTTGAACTACGATGATAAATTTAACTTCTGCCCGTCTTCTGTCTGTATTAAGCCCATCAGCAAACCATTAATGCCATTTGTTCTTGATGCACTCCCTACACCTTTAGCTCTTCAGCGTTCTATGCGAGGTTGTAACTACAAAACACTACTCAGAACAGCCACGCCGATTGGAAGTCTTAGATCCACCCAGCCACCTGTGCACGTGGCGAGGAAGACGGCCATAATGGACGTATTAGATGTCGCCCTCTAAAAAGAATGCATATCTTTTAATGGCTAATGAGTTGATGAATGAACCGTTGTAGTGTCACTTGCGCGCTCTTCTCTAACAGGGCGACAGAAAGAAGACATGCTTCCAGTGTTTCTTCTTTAAAAGTGCAATTTACGAAATTACTATAAAAAGCCGCCTCCCTCCTCCTGAAATATTTGACAACGTCTACTCTACTAAATAATGCTGTTGCCGACTTAAAAAGTGCCGTAACAAAGGCTCACATCAACGCACTGGCGGCATGCGAATTTACACACTGCATTAAGGCCTCTTAGAGAGTCAATACTGCTAATATTCAAATGTTGGTATTCGTCCCTGTGGCCATGAACTTTTAAAGGCTGGGAACTGTCGACCCTCAGAACTTATCAACGAAGCATGGTAACTGTTTATAACAGACTGTTGGTAATAATTTCCTTGGGGTTAAGATACAATTTAAGGTAGAGTACGATAGCCTACTTTTTTTGTATTCAGCTAAAGCGAAGGGGAGCTTAACAATCTCGATTAAGATGGCACAGTGATGTAAGCTTGCTTCTTCGGCTATCATCTAACGATCCTTTCCAGTCAACTGTGAAGGTTTGTCTCCGAGTGGTAGATTTAACCGAGTACACTCTTTGGACTTCCGTTGTAAACATACGTAAAAAGTATGAAAGGAGACAACTAAAACTTCCTATCTACTGGCGTGCTGCGGTACGCTAAATACTCGATTCCGCGGGTAATGTGGGGTATTGTACCTAGACCTATATCTTTTCGGTTGCTATATGAGATGAGCATTCTTTCTGGGTTGGCTTCGAGCCTTATACTTAGGTTATTAAAGATCGTACGTGCTGAAAAAGATTGAACCTTTAAAATTCAGTAGCTCTGCTGATAGTAATTACTGTCTAACTGCTAGGAGGTGTCTTTGTTTGGTATTATTTTAGGGTCCAGCGGATCTATTCGACTAACTTTAAATTGGTTTAAGTGGCTAAGTATGCTAACTAGTCGACTCTTACAAAAAATTGACGAAATTTCTCAAAATACTACTGGAATGGAAATAAGTTTTGGGTGAAGATTATGCATTGTGTTAAAGAAGTCATGAAAGAATTGATGTTATATATCTTATAACGCCAAAACGCTTACATCGGCACATCAAGAAAAAGTTGATAACGTTGTTAAACTGCACTGCTAATGGAGGATCAAACTGGCAACTGTCAAAGGTGGTTACAACGGCCGCGCTACTTCTTGGAATTTGTTAGGCTAGACAGAAATCGCGAACTTACAAATTATTCCCTCTGCACAACGGTGGCTGTGTAGTCGAAAGCTATGAAGACAACACGAAACTCCATGCCGGGCATCTTGCTTCCTAGCACTGGCTATCTACCTCTTCAACCCTTAGTTAAGAAGACAAAAAGACCAACTGCTACCACAATAATGTCCTCTCTTTAAGTTCGAAACAACAAACTTCTTCGCCTATTAACAAATCGCGACTATATGTCCGCTATGATACACTGCACCGCGAACCACAACTTGAGCAGCTGATTAAAAATTTTAAAAGAATTTCCGTCGCCCTTTACGAACAATTAGCTGGACATAGTAATAGTTTTTTAGCAGAAAACATAAAAATTACAGTGGCGCACATTGCTGCCCCTTAAGTGAAACACCTGGGAATAATTCAATGTTAAGTTGAGAGTTTAAATGGAATGCGAAGGTATAATACAAAAGCTTGTCCTTTTTTAGTGGTAACAAGGATTATGGGTTAGGTTGAACTAGTTAACACGACCGAGCTTTAGGAAACACCTGTTACAAGTAAATAAACTGATTATTGTATTTCCCAAATTGTTTATGATAACATGCGTACTTCTGATTTATTTAAAGCTTACTTCTTAAAGCTAAAAGACTGTGGCTTAGTAATTCTAATACATTGTTCTGCTTTAAATGTCCGTGGTTTCAATTGTTACTACTCCAAATTTAAAAATCTGATCTGTTCCAATCCGTGCACATTCTGGGTTTATTCGCATTTTAACTTCCATCTTGTTTTAAACTTCCTTTTTTTTACTTATAAAAAAAAATATCTATCCTTACTAGGAAAGCCTTCTGTTGTTTGTTTTTTTTGTAACAGAACATGGCTTAGCTTTTACCAAAGAAGTAGGGAGGAACAAAATTTGTTACAATCCTTTGTAAAAATTGGTAATAGGGCTAGAAGAGAAAGACTAAAAATAAGAGCGCAATTGCACTACTAAAGCTTACTAAATAACTGGCCACGCTACACTATTAAATGCTTCTGCTTCCTATTCCCTTACTACGGGTGTACACCCTTAAACGGGGGGTATAGTAAATGTTATAGTCTGATAATCAGTCGACTTTATTTCTATCTTCGTATAATTGGATTATTTGCATGTGTTGTAATTTAGAAAAATAGTGGTAAAGAAAAGTAAATGCAAATATGCATATGAATTATTATTATTAATGGTGTCTACTTGGGCTCATGCTCGTTATACTTTCAAGGTAACTTCTTTATTATGAAAAAGTTTAACGCGACGTTGCTTCCATAACCAATATAAACATAATAACCAGGGTGAAAGAGAAATGAACAGTCATCGTTAATTTTTTACACTGAGAGTACTAAAAGGTTTAATGACACATGATAGAAAATTTAAGATAGAAATGACGCAAAAACGAAGGGTCTCTATATCTTAGCTGTGATTTTCGATGCGATTATTTAAAATAACCTATATAATTTTATATTTTAACTTTTCAGAGCACTGTAGCACAAGTGAACAATCTAGTAAAACGCCCAAAAAAGTAGTTCGTAAGAAAATAGGGACTGGTTCGGCTACATCGGTTGCGGACACCATTTATATGAACAAATTTAGAGAGGTACTGCGAGAAGCCGCAAATCTCTTAGTTTT